TGTGGTTAAGATAGGCAATGCACTATAACCTACTGACCCTTGGTTATTTGTCATAAATTGATTAGCCCCAGATCCAGACCCTAATTGTGGTGACGTATTCGATGTCGAAGTGTGCAGACCCGCCATAAAAGATGTTGGCATCCCATAAGAGGGATTTCTGTGTCTGTTACCATCGAAACCGGGTGGTCTAGTTAGTGGGGTGGCGAAATGGGTTTGTGTCCCTGATGGTGGGACGAATCCCCCAGGATAACCAGTGGTTACTGTATTTCCTAGGATCAAACTGTTAGTCGACATGCCACTTGTTCCATTCATGGCTACACTACTGGTAGAGGATGCAACAGACTGTGCGCTCGAAGGGATCGCATTAGATGTTCCCGTCGAAGCAGACATATTAGTGCCTGTTCCATGTGGGGAATTTTGTTCCCCTTGTTGATTGTTTGGATTAGACATCTTGTTATTACGTTTTCTTCTAGGTAAGGGTTGGTTGCTATTGGTTATTTTACCACTTCTAAGGTTCATATAACAACGAACTTATCACTCAGAAAGAACTTTTACAATGATTATATCCTAACAATATTTACTTTGTTTTAAATTTCGTAACGACCAATGACTGTCCCACTGGGCGTGCCAATTTGTTTACAGTGATTTCTGGTAAACAACCGCTAGTCCTCCAAACTATCAAATAATCTTAATGACTGTTATTTAATCTCTCTGGTAACTTGCAGGATCGACTAGATTGATCCTATAGGGTATCAGTCGTTTGGATAAATCTAATTGCAAAACTGATATTCATAGTTAGGATTTGTATTTAGAATGTTTTATAGACGTTCAATTCACTTCGATTACCATGTTAAAAGAATATAATGACATGATCAAGTAAAGAAATACGAAACTGAATTGAATGAATAAAGATTCGATTGCAAAGAAATGTTTAAATGCAGAAATAAGTAAATGACTTTGAATGTAAAGACTTTAATGTAAAAAGCATGAATATAAAAGCATGAAATGTAAAAGAGTTTCTGAAATGTAAAGGATTCGAATAGAAGAAAAGCGTTTAAATGCAAGAAATAAGTAAATGACTTTGAATGTAAAGGTATTTGAATGACATTGACATGAAAATGGAAGATAAACTGGAAAAGATAAAGAGTTTTACTGAATTATAAATGTTTGGTGTTATCATACGTACATTGTTCGAGCATTCGTTTCCCTATCCATGTGGTATTTTGAATGTTTACTGAATTTTGTACAATAGATATGACACACAAAATCCTAACGCTAAGACTTCTATTTATACTACTTCGACCATAACGGTCTTGCCTATAAGATTCTGCCACGCTCAGAACATGCAGAGCACTGCTCCTCTCTAGTTTCCACGCGTCTTCGAACGCTCCAGCGCATATATATTTGAATTCCAACATCCCGCTCGCGTTTGAATTTCAAATGCCTTGGCAATCTTCGCTTCGAACTCATTTCACAGACACAGTCTCGTTACCACTTCGAGGCTTCTTTTAAATATATCTTTACAACTGTCACTCGAAGCTCCGAGCTTTGACATGTCCGTTCGAAGAACCGCTTCTACCATTCCGAACTGTAACATTTTGCTTTATTCCAATGAAACATCCATATTGCTTTATTTCGAACTGTATCATCAAAATCTTCAGCCAACAGTACCAGATCTCAAGACCAACATATTAAGTCTGGGACAACTTACAGAAAAAGGTGCTTCGATACTTATGAAAGATCGAACACTGCATTTGAAGGACACAGCAGGACATCTGATTGCCAGTGTCGAAATGGAAAGAAATCGAATGTACAAACTGAACCTGAGGAACATTCGAGAGAAATGTCTACAAATCGAAGTGCAAGACAAAGCGTCACTATGGCATATGCGCTTTGGTCATCTACATCATGCTGGTTTGAGAAGGTTGGCGAAAAGGAACATGGTGCATGGACTACCAGACATGGATTTCAAAGGAAAATTCTGTGAAGAATGTGTGCTCAGCAAACAAACAAGAACCTCATTTCAAAGGAAGGCAGAATATCAAGCTAAACATATTCTCAAATTGATACATACTGACATATATGGGCCAATCACTCCAGAATCCTTCAGTGGAAAAAGATACTTCATTTCTTTTATTGATGACTTCTCAAGAAAAACCTGGATTTACTTCTTGAAAGAAAAATCTGAAGCATTAGAAGTGTTCAAAAAGTTCAAAGTAATAGTGGAGAAGGCAACAGACAGACACATCAAAGCAATTCGATCTGACAAAGGAGGTGAGTATACTTCAATGACTTTTGTTAAGTACTGTGAAGAACAGGGCATAAGGAGATTCCTAACTGCACCATATTCACCTCAGCAAAATGGTGTGGCTGAAAGGAAGAATCGAACTATTTTTGACATGATTCGATCAATGCTCAAAAGCAAGAACATGTCGAAAGAATTTTGGGCAGAAGCAGTACAATGTGCTGTTTATATTCAGAATAGATGTCCACATTCAAAGTTAGAAGACAAAACACCACAAGAAGCATGGAGTGGACAGAAGCCAACAATTTCTCATCTCAAGGTATTTGGTAGTATAGCTTATGCACATGTACCAGATCAACGAAGAACAAAGCTTGAAGACAAAAGTCAGAAGTACATATTCATTGGATATGATGAGAAGACGAAAGGGTACAAGCTCTTCAATCCCATAAGCAAGAAAGTAATCGTGAGTAGAGACGTTCGAATGAACGAAGCAAGCAAGTGGGACTGGAACAATTCGACAGAGGTTATTGACGCAGTCAAAGAAACAACTGTAGCTGTACCAGCAAGTATTCCAACAAAACATGAAGAAACTGAAGATGAAGATGAGCCTCTACAACCAAAAATGAGAAGTTTGCAAGATTTGTATGATTCAACAAGTGAGGTGCATCTTGTGTGTCTTCTGGCAGATGCTGAAAACATCAGCGTCGAAGAAGCGTTACGAGACAACAAGTGGAAAAGTGCCATGGACGAAGAGATTAGAGCAATCGAACGCAACAATACTTGGGAGCTAGTCGAATTGCCAAGAGGTAGTCAACCCATTGGTATAAAGTGGGTATTCAAGAAAAAGATGAATGCTCAAGGAGAAATCTAAAGATTCAAAGCACGACTAGTTGCGAAGGGATACAAATAAAAAGCAGGAATTGACTATGACGAAGTGTTTGCGCCTGTTGCGAGAATGGAGACAATTCGATTACTCATTTCTCAAGCTGCCCAATTCAAATGGCCAATATTTCAAATGGATGTCAAGACAGCATTTTTGAATGGTGTGCTCGAAGAAGAAATCTATGTCGAACAACCACTTGGATATATGAGAATTGGAGAAGAGAAGAAGGTGTTGAGACTAAAGAAATCGCTGTATGGGCTGAAGCAAGCACCTAGGGCATGGAACACACGTATTGACACATATTTCAAAAAGAATGGGTTCGAGCAATGTCCTTATGAACCCGCCCTCTATGTGAAGAAAAATGGAAGTAATTTATTACTTGTTGCTCTCTATGTTGATGACCTTATCTTTCTAGGCAGTGATGTTCAGATGATCGAAGATTTCAAGAACACCATGACAAGCGAATTCGAAATGACAGACCTAGGTCTGATGAGATTCTTTCTTGGTCTGGAGGTTCGACAAGAAGAAGCTGGAATTTTTATCTCACAAGAAAAATATGCAAAAGAAATCCTAGAAAAATATAAAATGAAGAATTACAATCCAACTTCGACGCCAATGGAACCAGGTACAAAACTGTCAAAGTTTGATGGAGGAGAACAGGTTGAAGGAAGCAAATATCGAAGCTTGGTAGGTAGCCTTCGATATCTCACATGCACAAGGCCAGACATTTCACTAAGTGTTGGCATAGTAAGTCGATTCATGGAGGAGTCAGTACACACACATTGGAAGGCGCTGAAACGAATTCTAAGATACATCCAAGGAACAATATCACTAGAAATGTTTTATTCAAAAACAAAAGACTACAAGTTAGTTGGTTATTCTGACAGTGACTGGTGCGGAGACATAGACGATCGAAAGAGCACCTCTGGATATGTGTTTTTCATGGGAAACACAACATTTACTTGGCTGTCGAAGAAGCAACCTATAGTAACACTTTCGACGTGTGAAGCTGAATATGTGGCAGCATCCTGGTGCGTCTGTCATGCAGTATGGCTCAGAAGGTTGATAAGCAAGATGAAGCTAAAACAGGAAGATCCAACAATAATACAAGTGGACAATAAATCAGCTATCGAATTGGCGAAGAATCCAGTGAATCATGAACGAAGCAAACACATTGATGTTCGATTTCACTTCATTCGTGAACATGTGAAGGAGGGAAGTGTCGAATTGAGGCATGTAGCAAGCAGAAACCAAGCAGCGGATATTTTTACAAAACCTCTATCAAAAGAGATCTTCGACAGAGGCAAGAAGATGATAGGAATGCTGGATGGAAGAAACATTTAAGTCTACAGAGGAGTTTTGTTGAATAAACATTAAATGTCATTAGTAATAAGTTTCATATTAAATATGGTAGTAGAAAGGACAAAAGTTTAGTAAGTTATGATAGTTTATTAGTAGCAGTTATGGTTTTTTTTTGTAAAAGTCATTAGGTCTATATAAAGACCAAAAGTGTATTTTATTTTAACAAGAGCAATATATACAAAGTTTAGTCTGAAGTCTGATTCTTAGTTATAACATTTGCATATGCAATTGATGATTTAATTATACTTTATGATTTTGTACTCTAACATTCAACCATGCTCATATTAAGTTTTGATGACTAAAGAAAACAATATTATAGCAAAAGATACAATTGACTTTATGTTTTGGGCCAAGATGTTCCTTGGTGATATATCTGTATTGAAATCTACTATTAGTCGACTGGTGTATAAAAATTGTATAAAACTTCAACGACAACCGTCTGTCGTACGCATTTACAGATGAGGTAGTGATATGATTGATCTTGACTCAACAATCGGTCCATCGTATAAGTCACTTATTTGGTTCATTCAAACCCGAAGCTTGCTCCATGTCTAAGGCAGCTTTCGGCATTTTCTCTCTGCTCTTTCCCCACAGCACACAGTACAGTCCTAAAACCAATGCACAACTACCTAAAAGGCTGCTCAAATTTACACCAAAAACAATCACATAATTAATTAATCAACTTAAGATAGAGACACAAATTAAGCTTAAAAACTAGTACTTTTTATCGACTGATTCATGAAAATACCTTCCCAAACTTATTATCTCTCCCAAGAGAATTGCTGAGGAGAACATAGTCATGATCAAAGCTAGTGGTGTCGACATGGCTAGAAACACTGGTCCTCTCTTCTCTATAACCCATGTTTGTAAGTAATATGTCACACCAGTCACCATAATTCCCTATCATCATGATAACTTATTGTTATCAGGCATTAATTACTTTATAGATTACTAATTATATAAAAGATAATCCATTTTATTAAGATCGAGAATGTTACACAATATAACACAGCGACGAGTCTGACATTCCAACCCAATTTCCATTGTTCAAAGTCTTGTTCTACGGCCAACGCTACGACCAGAGACTGAATTGAACTTAAAAAACATTGAAGAGTCGTGAGTAGCAGCTTTGAAGGATATCCTTTTACGATAAACGTCTGGTTAAATATCAGCAAAAATCAGTAAATAGTTTAAAGAATACATTTTGAATTTAAGTTGGTGGGAATTAATTGATAAAAATGAATTACTTGTAGAACAAGCCACATTCCCCAAAAGGTATTAGAAAGAAGCATGAGGAAGCAACCCTTGATCCATGATGAGCCAGATAGAACATGGCCCTGATGTTGTTGTTGGGTTTTATGGTAATTCCCCAAAAAGTGAAAATGACTTGAAAGTTCTAAATGAGGTCCTTTATAAAAAGCAAGAGTTGCTGCTCCACCCAAACATGCCACAACACCAGCCAACTTAGCTGCCCCAGCAGCTGTTTTTACTTTCAAAACTTCGATCCTGAAATGCAAAATCCTATGCTTTAAATTGTGGTATATTTTTCTGATTGAAAGTGACATTTTTTCCCATATGAAAACAAAACAAGCTAGCTAGGCAATAGTAGACAATCATACACAAAGTATATTCCGCGGCTGCAAAACCTTAACACAGGTCGAATCAAATTAAAAGTGATCAAAAAGTTGAAAAGATAAATGTATGATGCAAAGTGATACAAAAATGAGAAGAGAAAATATCTATATACGATATGGTAATGGTAATCGTGGAAAAACAAGATACAGACTAATAGAAAAAAGTGACATGACAGAAAGAATACATGTGAACCAAAGTTAAGCACAATCCTTAAAACTACTATATACCACTTCTATTGTTAATCTCTATCTAAACACTATTCACTTTTATTTGAATAAGGTGTATAATGTATATGAATAGATACCTGAATAGGAGTGCCAAGAAGAAGGTAATAACTGGAAGACAGTTAGTAGTAGCAGCAGCCAAAGTTGCAGAAGTGTTTATTAAAGCAATACCATATATGTTTAAGCTCAAAGTTATCCTGATCAACAAATTTCATTAGATTATAATTAATATCTAACACATATATGCACTATATATGTTTCATGGATCACTAATCTAGTTTATACATAGTACATACCCAATGAAAGAAAGGAAGAAGATCTTGCAAAAGGTTTTGAATCGTAAAGGCGGTGCACTTTTCCTGTATCGATTTCAACGTTACTTAAACGAATAGGATAACTGAAGTTAATTGATTATGTATTAATGATCATACCATTCAAAGAAGAGAGCAAAAGGTGTTAGGAAAATTGTTGCTGCAGACTGTCTGTAGAAGACAAAGATGAAATTGTTCATGCCATGGTCGAATGCGGCTTTTGACAGAAGAAACATGGCTGCATATATGGCTTGTATGATTATCACAATCATATAAGGATTGTCTCTTTTCATCTTGCTAATTTGATTTTTAGTTATGAGACAAAGTTCTTCTAGTGATGAGTGAGTAGTGAGAAGTTGATATGATTAGCTCTCTATGAGTCTGCTATATATACATGTATATGCTTATGCTACTTTAACTTTACATGTTAAGGGACCGTATCTCTACACGCTGCTACACTAATTCCATTCCATTAATTTTGTAGCAAAAAAATGTTTTATGGATATCCACATTTTCCTTGTGCAGTGAATGTCTTAAAACCTGTGTTTTATAGCTTTTAAAAGTGATGATTCAAACTATTTTGGGCCGGTCCAATAACGGAGACTCAGTCATCAGTCTAAAGTTATCGGGTAATGAAGGTTCAATGCACCCACGACTTTGAGACCCACGCTCAATCCATGCCATAGACGGTTATTCACTATTATATATCATCTAACGGTTCTCAACGTTTCACACCGAGAAGCACATGACATCTCTAACCGTCCTCATGTATAAGGTATTCCACTTGAAACCTGAGATATGTTCTAACGATAATTTACTTTACTCTTTTGCAGGGTCGGTCTCGACTTTTTAGAGGTCCGAGGCGAATAATAAAAATGGACCTCTAATAAAAAATACAATTGTTTTAAAAAAAAAAGAATATTATCTATTTAAATTGTAAATAACATCAACATCAAATATAGTAATTTATCGGTGTAACTAAAATTAAAAAGATGTCATATTCTGTTTGAGAGAGGTGAAACGGTGCTGAAGAAGATGCAAATATTTTTATTATGTTACTTTTATTTTATTGGATCTATTATTGATTAAGCCTATTATTTATATTGTTTGAACTTGGTTATATAAATACCAATAATTTTTTTTTGAGGCCCCTGTATTTTGGAGGCCCTGGAAGTGGCCCAGTTTGCCCTGCCTCAGGGTCGGACCTGCTCTTTTGTTACTCACTCACTAGTTAGGCGTTTGAGTGTTAACTTTGCAGGTTTACTCCTTATCTGCCGCACCAAAAGCTTGCTCCATCATGCCAAGACCTACTCCATGTTGAAAGTGTAATTCTTTGTGTCGAAACAAGAATACAAAGTCGTGTTAACTGTATTCGTCAGAGAATCCAATACATTAAGTAGTTGACGAAATGCATGTAGTAGTCGAAATGTACAATTGCTGAAGGAGCTAGCCTCGACATAATTAAACTTGGCATTTATTTTGTGTTTCAGCTGAGTTAGTTAGTTAGAGATTGCTTGGTGTACAAGCAATCTCAACTAGAAATAAGGAGATACCCTATTATTGTAAAGTGTGAAGAAAAGAATAAAATTTCAGTTTGAAAGCAGAGAGAAACTCTACAGAATCTTCTTCTTCTTTCGCTTTTCTCTCGAACCCTAATTTCTCTTTTCTTCCTCAATTCATATTTTCTTTCTTCTCAAAATTTCTGTGCAGCAGAAATCATCTTGCAACCAAGGTGTGGTTGATTCACTCGAGTGAAGAAAAAGAGACGCAATCAATCAAAAAGATTGATTCTTGTTCATCAAGATTGATTCTAATTAGCTCCAAGATTGGGGTTTAATTCCAACTTCTGGTATCTAGAGCACTGACTGTGTGATTCTTGGGAAGTATAACACAATGAATCATCCGAGCGGGAATTTTCCAATAAGTCATTAAATCCTGAAAGATAAGAATTATGAGAATTGGTGTAAGCAGATGGAGATTGTTTTCTGTTATCAAGATCATTGGGATCTTGTGAAGGAAAGAGAAACACCAATTGGAAAAGATGCCACAGATGAACAAAATGTTGCACATAAAGAATTTAAGAAGAAATATTATAAAGTTATCTTTATAATTCATCAATCTGTTGATCCATATAACTTTAAAAAACTGAATGATGTAGAATCAGCGAAATAAGCTTGGGATATTATGGAGAAATTGTTTGGAGGTGCAGAGAATGTTAAAGAGGCAAGGTTACAAACTCATAAAAGAACATATAAATTGCTGCAGATGGAAGAAAGTGAAAGTATAACTGATTTCTTCACTAGGGTTACAAAGACGGTGAATCAAATCAAGATATGTGGAGAAGCGTTGACATCAAGATCAGTTGTTACAATGATCTTGAGGTCATTGGCTCCAAAGTTCAATCACGTGGTAGTAGCAATAGAAGAATCGAAATATTTGCCAACCTTGACAAAATAAGAGTTTCAAGGGACGTTTGAGTCTCATGAACAAAGAATGGTTGAAAGATATGCAAGCAAGGTGAAAAGTGATGTAGCTCTTCAGGCGCAATCAACAAAAGAAAAGAAAGGTCAAGGAAGTTGGAATGACAACAAAGGTAGAGGAGACCGCAACAATTTTACTAGTAGAGGTAACCAGCAAGAAGGAATTTAACACCCCGATTTATTTTAGTTAATTATTTGTAACTGATTTGTGTGATGATGTATGTTATTCAGTGTTTTGGTGTGTTTGGGGACTCTTCGGTGTAGGGTGATGACCTTTAGAATTTGAAACAAAGATCTTGGGGGGTGTTTGAGTAAAAAAGTAGAAACACATGGGTGATAAGAGAATATTGTTACTAAAATTATTTAAAATTAGATTTTTAATAGATTAAATAATAATAGTAATAATAGAATTAAATAATTATTTAGTTTTTATTTTAGTGGTTTTATTTAGTTGGACTGATAATAATAAGAATAACAATAATATAAAAGGGAATTAGAGTAAGTGAAAGTTAGAACCAACAGAACGTGGAAAGAGAAGAGAAAAGTTACAGAGCAGAGCTAGGGCTTGGGGAAGAAGAGGCAAACTCCATTGTAGATGTCAAGAGCTTTGCTATGAATACCAAGGTGAGCGGGAATTCCAATTTTCTAAGAGATTGTATAATAGTTTATAGGTTTGGGGTTTTGATTATTATGGTTGAATTGTATCCATGCATAATTGTGATTATCTCATCTTATGTTTGAATCATTTTGATGAATGGTGATATGATGTTGTTGTGTTGAATGATGTATTGTTGGTGAATGTTGTGATTTTATATGTTGATATGATTGAATTTGTAAAATCTAATTGCTCAATGTTTCAAGAAAATTGGGGGTTTTGGGTGGGAGAATAACTGCTTTTCATACACTGACATAGCAGAAAACTGCTTCTGCACAATTGTAATCGATTACCACTATGAAGGTAACCTATTACAGCTGCGAAGACTTTGAATTTTTTTGGAAAATACGAAGGCGTAATCGATTACTAGTATAGGTCTAATTGATTACACAATACAATTTTGTAATAAACTAGGTTCTAGAAAGTGGGCGTAATCAATTACACCCCTGGGCATAACCGATTACCATTTTGAAAAATTGAGCAATCATACCAAATTGTGAGTGTGTAATCGATTACCACCTGTTTTGGAAAAATTTTATAAAAAATTAAAAAATTTGTATCTTGAGTTTCGGGTGTTCGTTTGACGCGTTTATTGAACCTATGGAGTGCTAGTACAATGTAATTTCTTGTAAAAATGGTTTCATGTTTCTGGAACTGAATTTAATTGGTGTGTAGTGATGTTTCGTAGTGTCTGTATATGTCGCAGTATGATGTCGGGATTGGAAATATGCGTTGTGTGCATTATTTTTGCTTGCTATTTTGTAAATTGTTGTTGCAGATTGTATAACAGGTACTTGGTGTATGGTGGCCAGAATTGAAGGAGGATAATTGCCAATGGTGAAAGGAAATGTACTTGTTGATTATTGCATGTTTAATACGCATCATGCATCATTGGTGTTTGGATGGTGGTCCGTATTGGTGAGCCTCAATCCCATTATGCGAATTAAGTGCGTTTTAGTGTGCTCTATGCCTATGGTGAGGATCGGAGTGGTGAACCTGAGTGTTCATGGAGGATTGGTACCACATGCATTTAGTCTCGGTGCATTTGCATAACTGTTGTTGCATGGACGTTGTTATTACATAATTGTTGTGGAAGTTGGTGTTTTGGTTTATATGTATGTGTGGATGGTGAATTGGGTGAATATGCATGAAATAATATGTTATCTACTTATTATTATGCATTCCTTCATATTATTTTGATATATCACCCTTTCTGTTTGAATGTTTCCTCCACGTGGATAACGCGTAGGTGATCCGCAGTGAAGGTGTTGATGAGTTTATAAGAGAGCGCTCTTCTTTATTGCTTTCGTCGGTGTCGGTGTCTGCTCTGATATGTAACACTGGGGGTCAAACGCTTGCTTTGTTATACCGTGTTATTATAGATTTTGTGATATCTCTTATGTTGTAATTTTATAATTACTTTATGACATGAATTGTTTTGAATAAGTATTTCAATATTTGGTTGATGTTTTCACTGTAATAAAATGAAGTTAGACATGATGGTGTTTATTATAGTTATTATTAATAATTTCAAAAGTTGCATGTGTTACATATTTCTATAATATGAGCAAATTGCTGTTTGATGAATGTGACATCCTAATTGGGTGAAGTTTTTAATTTACTCTGATTTTATTTATAAATATTTCGGGGGGAAATTAGGGTGTTACATAGTGGTATAAGAGCAGGTCGATCTGTCTGGCCAAGTTGTTGAGTCAGTGTGGTGTGACAGTTGAATATTGTTGTTGTTGTTTCTTAACCATTTTGCTGTTGTTGGTGTGAAACAAAAATGGCTAGAAGAAATGATGTCGTGATTGCTGGTGCTTTGCAAGTTGTTGCTCAGGCTGTGCAGAATCAGCCTAATACTGAGGGGAACGATGAGTTCCACCATCTTGGGAAGTTCCAGAGGAACAATTCGCCTACTTTCAAGGGAAGGTACGATCCCGATGGAGCGCAGACTTGGCTTAGAGAAATTGAGAGAATGTTTTGAGTGATGAGTTGTTCAGAGGAGTAGAAGGTATAGTTTGGTACTCATATGCTGGTTGAGGAAGCTGATGACCAGTGGATCAACACTCTTCAGGTATTGGCAGTAGTAAGTGAAGTTGTCACTTGAACTCTGTTCAATAGAGAATTTCTAAGGAAGTATTTCTCGGAAGATGTT